ACAAACACAAAGTTGTATTCATTTCATGATCGTACAGTACATATTAGAGGGGGTATTTATAGAGGTCCTAGCCTTCACAATTTATATACAAATGACCATTATACCCCTCTCTCTAATCAATACAACCCCTTTGAACTACAGGGGCGAAGTTGTCTTTTCACTCTTGGGAACTACATTCTTCACGCTATCTTGTTTGATCATCAAAGTTGCTTCGATCATGGTTGTCTTCGCAATCTTCAACTTGAGAGCTCACTTGTTGAATCCTTTTGACCTCACGTGTTGAGCGAAGTCAAAAGTTTGTCTTCGCTCTTGATGTCTTTCACATTTTCTGCTTGTTTTGAGCGAAGTCGAACTTTCTTCTTCGCTCTTGAATCCTGCAAGCAAACTTTGACATGGAATTTTGGTAACCAACTCCGAAGTTACGTTGCTATATTTTCAGGCGAAGTCAAATCCTGAACATAAAGACATTCAGAAATTGCAAGCAGAAAAGCTAAGAAGACATTTAGTCAAAATTTTCTAGACATTCAGAAACCTTTCACTAGGTATTTACTTGCAATATCTTGTGCGTGTTGTTGCTCTTGCGCTTGTGTAGCTCTAGTAGTTGTGCTTGTATAGCTCACTCAACTAGTTGAGTGGCCATCTCAAGTAGAGATTACTAGTGTAGCTAGTTCTTAATGTTTACATTTGCTCACTAGTGTGTGTAGGAGCTCCCTTGTGCTTGGTTGAGTTCTAGTTTAGGTTTGTATGACCTTACAAACTAGACTTGGGTAGGTGAGCTCTCGTTAGCTCGACATCTACCTGATATCCTATGTAGGATCTTTTACAAGGTGTTTTGTGAAATTAGATAAAGGGGTGTAGTCATGGTTAGATGATTAGTTTTTATTCTACTGCTTTTATATCAGCTAGCCATAGCAATTAAGTTTTAGAACTGATTATCCACACCCCCTATAGTCCGTCCTCTCGACCTATATAGAACCCATGTGGTGGAGTTGGAGGAGGACAACGGCGGCCATATCAAGCGACAAGGTGTAGTTTGAGGAGGTGGAGGGTGGCAGTGGGCAAGGATAAAGAGATAGCAGTTGCTGTAAAAGAGAGGTGATGGTGAAAAATGAGGGTGAAATGGAGAGTCACATGTGATCGGGATGAGGGATCTAGAAGACATAAGGGATGCAAGTGATTGGAGCGGTGTGAAGAAATGTTCCTTTTGCTAAGCCTCCATAGTATAAAAATGGATCGAACTTCCCTAGCTCCATGAGCATGTTGTTTTTCACCAGATTGGTAGGGCTTCTCAAGAATCAGCACAAGGAGCAAGTGGCAGAACTCTAACAAAAGGATCCTGTATTTTCAATTTTACTCCCTCCATCCCAGCTTAAATGCACTTCTAGCTTTCAAACAGCCAACTTAGTAACCCTGTGAAATGACATTGCTACCCCTACGAGGCAATGGCACAATCCATCTGGTAGTCCACTCGCCCAGACCAGTAGGTACAGTGAATCACTAAAATGAGTGGACAAGAGAGCATAGCCTGTAGCATTCCGTCGGTTTTCGTTTTTTTAATTGGTTTTTGGTCTTCGTCCAAAGCTGGTTCACACGCCCGGTGAAAGGTCCTTGTTGGTTTTGGTAATTGAGTGACAACCTAGGTGGACTAATTATGTTTATGTGAGATACACAGGTGATTAGTCCATAGGTACATGTGTATGAGCAACATATGCCATGGAGGTGAAAATGGCTTAGAGATGTTGCAAAGCTCACACATGTGATGATGAAGGAGCTTAACGCACATGAGACATGACATTGAGTCATGTGATCAAGGTGGAGAAGATCAAGACAAGACTTGGCTTGATGGACCGGTTACAAAGCGTGAAGGGCAAGTCAAAGGCTTTGAGTGATGGACCGCGTGGCGGTGAAGCTTGAGCAAGACTTGGCGGCCGATGGACGATAGCAACGGTGAAGAGCAAGTAGAGTCAAGATCTATGAACTAATATGATCATGTGATGATATGAAGTGGATCATATCATTGTTGATCGTGTTGGTGCATGTGTTGCATCGACATTGAAGGAGATGGAATGGAAATGCAAGGCAAAGGTATAACCTAGGGCATTTCATTTCACCGGTCATAGGTGTGTAGAGAAGTTTATGACCGGGTTTAGGATAGATGGCCAGACTATCAAGAGGGGCAAACTTGTTTGCATATCGGTCATTTAGTGCCACTCGAAAGTGATCTAACTTTGCATTGTCGCTAGGATCGAGTGGCGTGGCAAGATGAGTGGCTAACATCCTTTGGGAAATGATTGTGAAAATGCTAACACACATACACATGGTGGTGTACACTTGGTGGTGTTGGCACATTTACAAAGGAGGTGGTGTTTGCGAGGGGTGAGATGGGTTTGGGTCCTTCTCTCCTCCCGCCGAAAGCTTGCTCGGCGGGATTCGGGCGCTTTCGGGAAAATAGAATGCCTATTTTCTATTGCGCCGGTTGTAAGTTCTTGTGGTTAGCACATTGGAGCAAGGGTGATGAAGTTAGAAGTGAAACGAAGTTAGTCGCTGAAGATGTCTTTGGCGTCGGTCAACCGACCGGACGCCGATCTGGAATAAAGGTGCGTCCGGTCAGCCGACGTCTGATGGACGCAGAAGTTGGAGTGTGACCGGATTGTGACCGGACGCGTCCGGCCGAGGTCGGTACCTTTTATTGGAAACGACCGGACGCTGGGTTGAATTCTGCGTCCCGTCCGATTCTTTCTTGGAGCGTCCCGATTGATGACCGTTGAGATCCAAAGTGAGCAGCGTTTGAAGGAGGGGACACGTGGCGTGCATCGACGACCGGACGCCGAGGTCCCCCGTCCGATCGATCGGACCGGAGCGTCCGGTCGGCCCGCCCGTGCCTGCTGAAGAAGGGGTAACGGCTAGTTTAGCCCTTGGGGCTATAAATAGAAGTGGCCCTCGGCCATGGTCAAGCTTGAGCACCTCAAGGGACTTAGTGTCCATGCTTGTGAGTGCTTGGGAGTCCTCCATCACACATATACTTGATAGTGATTATTCGATTGTGTGAGTGAGCGATTCTAGTGCGATTGCATCGTGAGGTTGCATCGAGTGGCACTAGGTGATCGAGAAACAGCCGGTGGTGCTTGTTACTCTTGGAGGTTGCCACCTCCTAGGCGGCTTGGTGGTGGTCTCGTCAGCCGCAAGAAGCTTGTAAAGCGGCGCTCGGAGAAGTGCTTGTGAGGGGCATTGTGCTCGCTTCTGGAGTGAAGAGAGCAACTCTAGTAAAGCGTGTCATTGAGCTACCCTCACTCAAGGGGTAGGTTCTTGCTGCCCGTCGACGCGGGCTTAGCGGGTGATGCTAATTAGTCGCCGAACCACCAAGTGAGCGGTCGACATTAACGGGACTAGCGTGTTGGCAAACACGTGAACCTCGGAGAAAAATCATCGTGTCAACCTTGTTCTTCCCATTGTTTTTGCATCCCCATTACACAAGCTTGCAATTACTTATATATATATCTTAAGCTTGTGTAGTTGCTTTTGTAATTAGATAGCTTGTGTAGCTAGCTAATTACCTTCTTGCTTGTGTAGCATAGAAGTAGCTCTCATGTGGCTAATTTGGTTTTAGTAACCTTGTTAGTCACATTGCTTAGTTTGTGTAGCTAAGTATTTACGCTCTCTAATTAGGCATTGGTTGCCTTGTTATTGAGCATTGCTAGTGAGCTTAGTTAGCTTTGTGCTTTTGCTTACTAGCATGTGTAGTAGCTCCCTTGTTACTTAAAGTACTAGTGGCATAGGTTTGTGTGACCTTGCTCCTAGAATTGTTTAGGAGAGCTCTAGCTAGCCCGGCACCTTAGTTGCTTTATTAGTATCTTTGCAAGGTGCTAGTGAACATATATAGAGGGGTGTAGTCTTGGTTAGACCGATTGTTTTAATTCCGCATTTATATCGGTTAGCCGACGCGATTAATTTTAGAAAAGACTATTCACCCCCCCTCTAGTCTGCCATCTCGACCCTTCACCCGGCAAGTACACTGTGCTCTGCTGCCTGTTGCCGTGCGTGAAAGTGTTTACTTATTTCGGGAAAATTTTGAATCCTAAACATGAGATTATTTCGGGACGGAGGAGTATATTTGTTGAATAGGAAAATTAGATCTTAGGTTGCACTTCAGAGATTTTAAATATGAAGACCCTTTTTCAACCAGTTGATACCTTTCCTAAGTAGGGCCTCCTAATAATTCACTAAAAGAATTGGTTACATTTTCGTAGTTGGACGAGGATCCAACGGCTCTGATATCATGTTGTTTGACGTCTAGCGCTCTCTGCATGACTGGTTTCTTTTCTGCATGGCTACCAATTAATTCTTACTCATATTGTCAACATACCCAACTCCCGCAACCATCCCTCCTCTTTGAGCACATTCCCATGCCATCTCCCATGATCGTCAACATTGCCCACCTAAACTGTTTCCACTTCGCACATAATAAGACTTGCTCCACACTTCCGTCTAGCTCTCCATCTACCTCTCATTCATCACTAAACCTTAACCTCAGTCAGTGGCTAATGTAACTAGTCCACCTAGGTTTCATTAACCCCAATTGACAAACAACTCGTTCGAATGGTTTTGGATGATTGAATAGTATTATGTGAGAGAGGATAAGCTGAAACAAGCCAGGACTATACCAGGCAAACGCCATGAAAGATGGTCTCTTCCGCTTTTTTCTCATAGTCCACGGCCATAGGAAGAAGCTACCAATATTGTTGTTGACCAAGGGAAAAGGTCAATCAAAATATCAGTCAACGAGCGGTAAACAAACCACAGACCCTAAAATATCCACACTCCCTAAATACAAAATACACCTGGGTATACGGTATACCTACCTATCCAAAGTACGGGTAGTAGTCTAATCCAACCCTGATTCCAAGAAGGGCACCACCAAACCTCGAAAGATTCCCAAAGCTGACCCTCCAGAAAACCAAGAAATCTCACTCCTCCCCTCTCTCTCTCTCGCCTCCCTCGCCATGTCCCGCCGCCTCCTCCCCCTGCTCCTGCTGCTGGCGCTGCTCCCCTCCCTGGCGCCGCCTGGTGCGTCCGCACGCCCGGGCTCGGGGAAGGATTTGGGACAGTGTCCGGTGCTGGAGGACGGGCTACCGCCGTTCGCCGCCGCGTTCCGGGCAAGTTGCCCCGTCTCGACGGAGGGGTACTCGCCCCCGGAGGAGGTGCCTGTCTCCGAGCCCTAGCTCCGGCCATCTGGTTGTCTAGTTGGCCGCAAGATTAGTTCTTTCTCGGGGAGGGCGAAGCCGAATCGGGCGGTGAGGTGTACGGTTCCGGCGGATCTCACACTTGCGCGAGCGTTCCGATGCTCGTGTCGAGGAATTCATGTGCTGTTCATACTTCTCGATCGATGCTGTGTTGCTGTTTTCACCTCAGAAGATTAGTTCCCTTTGTTTACTTCACTGATTAGCGTGGATTCTGCTGGGGAGCCATGGGCAGATAATTTGTTTTCGAAGTTTTTACGGGATGATTAGAGGCGCCTGAATCAAGCTGTGCTTTAGTAGATTCGTTCATTCTTTTTTTCTTTTTAGATAGGATCGCTTTCTTTTGATCCCCTTCCCTTGTGGTTGACGGAATTTACATGTTCTTGTGTGTTTTTCAAGTATAAATATAACTCAACTAGTCAACGCAAGAGTATCAAGAACAGTTCGATGTGTGGCCTATGTTCTTGGTCCTTTGTTTTACTTTCTATAGTGTATTGTTAGGGTTTGTGAAATCTGTATTTGTGACTATACTCCCCTGAACTCCTGGTTCGTTGAATTATTGCTTTTCAATAATTCATCGCTTGTGATTTGCAACTTTTATATAGGTTAAGGTGTCAACTTTCCAACGAATGAACTGTTTCCCTTATGTTATTTGTGTATTTCTCAGTTGTTTAAGCGTTTGATGCACATGGTCCTAGTTGGAATGACTCAAAAGTTCATTCATTCAGTACTGAATATCAGTGTAGCATCAGCACTAATGGGCGGAACGCTCAGGACTAATTTACAGTCAAGTAGTGCTACTCGGTAGTATCAGGGACTGGGAGAGATGTATCGGCTAAAAGTTAAATCTAGACCGCTAAATGTTGCTGTGTTCTTTAATTCCGGCAAGAGGCTTAAATGTGATAAGGGAGTATCAAGTATGTATGATTATTTGCAAAGGAGAAAGCAATACCATCAGTTGACTTTTACTGGATTGGCCTGGAGTTTTATCTTGTAGCGTGGCTTTTTGTGGGTCAGTTTGGAGGTTTGGTGTCTAATATGGTATGAAGCTCACTTCGAAAGTTTTGGCAGGTTATTAATGGGGATGAACTTCTCAGGATGTTGGATGGCAAGGAAGAGCACACAGCTGTCCTTTTCTATGCATCATGGTGCCCTTTCTCACAAAGAATCAGACCAGTCTTTGATGATCTGAGCTCAATGTTTCCACAGGTTAAGCACGTGGCTGTCGAAGAGTCCAACGCCATGAAAGCGTAAGACCCGAATATGCTGTAACGCAATTATTACCTTTCATGGTCATTAAAATAGCTAATGCCTGTAACTGAAATCTCTTTCCTTCTATAATTTGCAGCATTTTATCGAGATATCATGTCCGTGCACTACCTTCCATCATAATAGCTCGCAGCTCATACGTATTCTGGCCTCTTGGTTCGAAAGATCTCGACTCCCTGGTCAACCTTTACCTTACTGCTACGGGTACGTATGTTACTCCTATGTTGTTACAATCTTGCGATGTTTATGATAAGCTTAAAACGATATGTGTTGTTGTAGTATCAAACACTAGTTTTACCACACTGTATTGTTCTACTGTATGTCTATACTATGGTCTAGGGTTATTAGACCCAGTTACCCAGGGCTGCCCCTTTTGACCTAATTTTTTATAATTTAGCCCTTTTTTTAAGAAAATTTACATTTGGCCCCCTGGGAGAAGTAAACTCATCTTTGGACTGGGGGTCGGTGCCAGGACTCATGGCGACGAGGTAACACGTCTCGGCGCCACAAATCTTGGCTCCGAGGTGCCTGGCCGAGATCCTAGGTGGCATTGACGTGGCCGGTACCTCGGTGCCACGGACTCTGCAACACATGCACGAGCATGGGCGTCTGTGGCCTTGAGGTGCAGTTGTGCCAGCGATGCTGTGTTGCGTGCGGCCGAGTGCCTGCGTTGCCCCACAGGGCTTTGTCTCGAGAGAAAGATTTGAGAAGAGATGAGAGAGAAGGAAGAGGATTTTCCATTTTCTCGTAAAGGATGACTTCAATGTGTCTTCGATTTCTTGATCTTTTTTTTTTCAATCACAAGAGGTTTTGGTTTTGGAGGATACGGGCATTTTTTTGCTATGTACTTAGATGTACACTATGTCTAGATAGAGTGGAGGAAAAGCTAAACGTGTTGGGATGAATTTTTTTTTTTATTTAATGATGAGAAGGAGAGAATAAATAAAATGTATACCAAGAGAGTCTTGAAAAGGGTGTCAGGGAGAAAGAAACTAAAAGGAGATTTTAATTATGTAATAAAATTAAAAGGTGGGAAAAATTTTGAACTTCGTGAGCGTTTTTCCTGGGTCCGGATGAAAAACGCAATTCACGATTTGAGTTCAAAATTTTTCCCACAAATTTTATTAAAGTAATTAAAAATCTCAGCCTAGTTTCTTTCTCCACACCAACAAAGACTTTTCAAGGATCGATGGTATACATTTTATTTATTCTTCTCATCATTAAATAAAAAAGAAAAATTCATAAAACACGCTTTGACTCTCTCCACTATCTGGACAGACGTGTACATCTAAGTATGTAGCAAAAAAAAAGATCCTCCAAAACCGCACAAACCTCTTGTGATTGAGAAAAAAGAAATCGACCGCACCTTTCCTCATCCTCACATTGCAGCAGCCTCTCTCCTCCTTCTCTCTCTCTCTTCCGCGATTCCCGAGACAAAGCCCCAGAGGGCAGCCAGGGCTTCAGGGTCGCACGCGCTCTCTGCCAGCAGACGTCCATGCTAAGGCCAGAGTCCGTGGGCGCCGAGGTACCGCCACTTCCATGTTATAAATTGGGCTGCCAGAGGGCAGCAGGAATTTGAAAGTGCCGCTGGCCGCTTGGATTGTATTGAATTGCAAATAACAACTTGGATACAAAGATGCTAACCATCGCATATATAAGCAAGTGGTGTACCTATTCCTTAGCATATTCTAAGCTGCATAAAGGATGCTATGATTCCTACTTGGTTGCCAAGGCACCATGATCAACTTGGTTGCCAAGGAACACGAAAAATTACATGATGTTGAATAGTAAATAGCTATAGTAGGTAATCGAAAAACAAGAACACTAGGCTAACTCATCGACAATTCTCCCCTTTTAGCCTTGTGGTCCTTGGAAGTGATGTGCTTGAGCCCAATTATTCCCCTCATCTCTTCAAATTTTGATCTTTCAAGAGACTTGGTTAGAATGTCAGCCAGCTGATCAGTGGTGGATATGTGATCAGCCCTGATACTTCCATCTTCCAAGCAGTTTCGATGAAGTGATACTTGATTTCGATGTGCTTATCTGCGCTCATGAAAGATCTGGATTCTTGGCTAGAGCAAGTGCGGACTTGCTATCAACCTTCGATTCGACCACTTCCACATTCCTTCCAAGGAGGTCTGCCAACTGACTGGATAGCCAAATAGCTTGTGTTGCAAATTTGTGGTAGTGGCAATGTACTAAACTTCACAACTAGATAGAGCCACCACCTTTCGCTTTCTTGATCGCCAAAGACACAAGATTGCTTCCGGGAAGAATAGAGTGCCACTAGTGCTCTTGCTAGTGTCAATGTCCCCTGACCAAGTCTTTGTCGCGAAGCATTCCAACAAACCTTGCTCTTCCCGGAGCCTTAGTGTAGTGCGAGCCAAACTTGAGTACCGACCACATATCTCGGGATGCGCTTGATGGCGGCTTGGTGCTCTGCAATCGGCCTCTCCATGAATCGACCGACAAAGCCTACCGAGAAGGCTAAGTCGGTCTTGTGTGGACCAAGTAAGCGCAGCCGCCCACCAATCTTTCTGTATTGGGTAGGATCAACCTGCAGGTGTGCTCTCTGCTGCTCAACCTCGATCGCTCCTCCATTGGTGTATGGGCGGGGTTGTAGGCATCCATACCTCCTAGCTCAAGGATCCTCTTGGCATAATGGGTTTGCCTCAGAGTGATCCCCGGTGAATCTTGGTGTACTTCGACCCCGTGTAGAAGGACAGGAGGCCGAGTCGTCTCATGTCGAAAACCTTCTTCATCCGAGCCTTGAAACCTTCTATGACTTGGAGCTGGTAATCTTGGTGATGATCAAGTCGTCAACATAGACGCCGATCGGCAGCTCCTCCCCCTGTTCTCGCTTTGTACATCGCGACTTCATGGTCGCTTTCTTTGAAACCCATCTCCTTGAGGGTGGCGCCCGACTTGGCGTTCAAGCTCATGGAGCTCGCCAGAGGCCATACAAAGCCTTGCGCAGACGGTACACCATCTTCTCCTTCCGGTGACGGTGAAGCCAAAGCGGTACGCTTCACGCATACCTCCTCCTTGAGGTTGCCGTTGAGGAAGGCCGATTTGGCGTCCATGTGGTGGACGCGCGCCATCCTTCTTGGGCCGCCGGTAGCGAGGAGGACTTGGGACGGATTCCATGCGTGCGTACACGGAGCAAACGCGTCGTCAAGTCGATCCTTCTCGCCGATTTAAACCCCCCGCGCCACCAAGCGCGCCTTGTACTTGGTCACCGCGCCCCACTCGTCCTTCTTGAGCTTGTAGACCCACTTCAGAGTGATGGGCCGGTGACCGGGAGGAAGCTCCACAAGCTCCCACGTGCGGTTCTGCTCCACCGCCTTGATCTCTGCTCCATGGCGGCTCGCCAGCAGAGATCGCCACCGACCTCCGCTGGTTGGCGGCTCGGCGGCGGCGTGCGTGAGTGAAGCTCGGCGAAGAGACGTGAAGCCGGCGGCAGTGTGGGCGCGTCCCCGACGATGTTGGGCATGGTACGGTACCGTAGCTGCTTGCCGTCGTAGGAAGCATCAAGGCGATCGTCGTCGTCCTCGAGCGGTGACGCGAACTCAACTGGGTCCACCTGCTCGGTCTCCGCTGCTGGTGAAGCAGAGGAGGCCGGTGGATCGTGCTCCCCTGGAGCTGGTGACGGCATGCGCGGCGGAGCTCCGTCTGCGTCGACTCCGTAACTTCGATGTCGAAGTCGCCGGGGCGGAAGCGACGCCCCGTGGTCGGTGGACCAATCCACCACGCCTTCATCAAACACCACATCGCGGCTCACCTTGACGCGTCCTGTCGCCGGATCGAGGACCCGGTTGGCCTTGGCGCCCTCGGCGTAGCCGATGAAGACCCCAGCCTTGCCGCGGTCGTCGAGCTTGTGCAGCTGCCCGAGCTCCCTTGTGTAGGCGACGCAGCCGAATGTACGTAGATAGCTCACCGCCGGCGCTCGTCCGTGCCAGGCCTCATAGGGGGTCTTGCCTTGCAAGCTTCTTGTCGGCGCGTAGTTGAGCAGATGCACCGCCGTCATCACCGCCTTCCCCCAGAATTTGGCCGGCATGGACCTCTGCTTCAGGAGCGCGCGTGCGGTCGCCATGACCGTCTGATTGCGCCGCTCCACCACACCGTTCTGCTGCGGTGAGTGTGGTGCAGAGTAGTGCCGCTTGACTCTTCGGCGGCGGCGAAATCTGCGCTTGACTTCGCCGACGGTGAACTCTCCTCCATTGTCGGTCCGCAGTACCTTGAGCTCTCACGGCCGGTCCTTCGCTCGCCGGCCTTCACCGCTTCACAAAGATCCGCGGCAACATCCTTGTGGCGTCGGCAAGCATCGCCCACATGAAGCGGGTGGCGTCGTCCACCATCGGAAGAAGTAGCGGCGCCCTCACGGTGTCGGCGGCGTCACCGCCCGCACAAGTCGCCGTGGACGAGGTCGGGGCGCTGCATGCATGATCTGCGCTCGCTTGCGGAAGCGGCTTGCGGCGGAGCTTGGTGGTGACGAGGTGTCGCAGACTTGCTCAGATGCTTGATCACCGGCATCCCCTCACCATCTCTCGCTTGCTGAAGTGGTGCTGCGGCGCCTAGAAGCCGAGATGCCCAGCGCTCATGCCACCTCCATGACTCGTCCTCCTTGGCGGCAAGACACACCCGCCGCTTGCTTGACCTCAAGTGAGGATGATACAACCGACCGGGCCCTTGATGTACCTTGGCGAGAAGACGACCACGCCGGTCCCAGATTCGGAGCACTCCATGTTCAATCTCCACTGGAGCCTCCTTCGTCGTCAGTGCCCCAAACTCATAATCGAGTTCGGGCGTTGGGATGTAGAAGACGCCATGGAGGACTTGTTGCCCCGTTCTTGGCACGGAAGACGATGGAGCCGGTCCCTTGATCTCCACTCGAGACGAAGTCGCGAACGCACTGCGTTGCAGCTGGCCGTGGTGTCGAGCTTCGGCGAAGAGCTCCGGCGGCCGGTCATGTGATGATGTGGCCCATTGCCGAGGTAGTACCGGCCGAGCGCCTCCTCGTTGGCGCCGGTGTTGAGGGAAGACGCGACGCTGCTCGTTGATGTCAAGGGAGGCCGTGGCCTTGGAGCGAGCGGCGGGTCTTCTCGTCGAGCTCGAGGAAGCCGTGGGCGAGGAACAGAGCACCATCATCGTCCTCCGCCTCTGCGATGTGCGCAGCACCGCCACGCCCACCACCGCGCCGTCCACCTCGATCACCTCCAACGCGGTTGCCTCCTTCGCCTTTGGTTGCCACCATTGCCGCCGCGGTCACCACCCTGCCTTGGCGGTGGTGGCGGCGATCAAGCGCGCCAAATGGCGCGATCACCACGATTGAGGCGGTGTGTGCCGTCCCGCCGCGATCGTCGCCACCGCCCTCTGTCTCTCGCCGCGATTGCCCTTCCCGCGCTGCTTCTTGCCACCGCGTGGACAACGTCGTGGTTCCTTGCCTGACGCGGAAGCGGCAGCCTCCTCCTTGGCACGCCACTGCTCCCTTGTCAGCAGCAGACCACCGATGGCGGCCGGTTCCGCGGCCAGCGCCTCCATGTCGTCCACCGTCTTCAAACGCCCAGACACCTCGATGGTGAGGTCCTGGAAGTCGAGAAGCGTCTCGATGGCGATCCGGAGGCGGGCGATTGCGTGGCGCGACGCGGCGCAGAGCCTCTCCACCACGCGCTCTTCATCGATGTCGTTGTTGCTGCGGAGAAGAAGTTGCTACCGAGGCCATCAGCGAAAGGTGAAGTCCTCGATCCGCTCACCCGGACGGAAGGCGAAGCTTCTCCCGATCCATCGCGGAGTCGGCTGGAGCGTGGCGCTGCGCGCACCCGATCGACGCCGATCCCGCGCGGCGGCGATGGAGTCGAGCCTCCTTGGGCGATCCCTTCTCGACAACGGCAGCATCGTGCATCTCTCGTGGCACGGCGGCGATGATCGCCTCCACTGCGGCGCTTTGTCCTCATGGTACGCGCAGTCCCGGTACTCGATCGCGTCCCGAGTTGCCGTGTTCGGAGCTTCAGCTTCATGATCAAGGCCCACTCATGGTAATTTGACTTGGTGAGCATCGGCCAGGTGGAGCTCGAGCCAGAATCCTTGTACACGATCTGGATCACCGGCGAGCGGCCCCTGGCCCGTCCGCGGCGGCGATCCTGATCCCGATCGGGCGACCGCGTCTGCCTGCGCTCGCGCTCCGGGCTCCTCCGCGGAGGCGGGCGGCGATCGCGCGGCGGATCCTCCTCCACCAACTCTCGACGTAGAGCCGCGGCCGTGGCGGCCGCGTTCCGAGCTGCTGCTGCTGCGCGGCCCTCGCGCTGCTTTGCGCTGCGCGCTGCGTGGCCTGGCTGGCCTGCTGCTGCTGACGACGACAACGACTGCACTTTCGGCGGCGGCTGCTGCTCTCTCTGTGGAGGTGGCCATGCCTCTCCCTTTCTCTCAACCCCGGGCTCTGATGCCAATTGTTGGCAAATTGGGGCTGCCAGAGGGCAGCTTGGCCAGCAGGCCGCTTGGATTGCATTGAATTGCAAATAACAACTTAGATACAAAAGATACTAACCACTGCATATATAAGCAAGTGGTTTACCTACTCCTTAGCATATTCTAACTGCATAAAGCAGATGCTATAATTCCTACTTGGTTGCCAAGGCACCATGATCAACTTGGTTGCCAAGGAACCTGAAAAATTACATGACAGTGAATAGTAAATAGCTATAGTAGGTAACTGAAAAACAAGAACACTAGGCTAACTACTGACAGTCAATGCCACCTAGGATCTCGGCTAGGCACCTCGGAGCCAAGATCTGTGGCGCCAAGCCATGTGTCCTGGCGTCGACCCCCAGGGTCCAAAGATGAGTTTACTTCTCCCAATTGGCCAAACGTAAAATTTTTCAAAAAAGGGGCTAAATTATAAAAAATTAGGCCCTTTTGACTTGTACAAAACTTTTCAGAACTGCCTTGTACAGATAGCATGCGAGCTCACTGATTCTAGTAAATTCAAAAGATGGAAGGTTTTCTGTGCTAAGTATTGTTGCAACTACCATTATATTTCATTGTCTTTGTTATACATGCCCAACTATTTTTGGTTACTCACGAATTGAAATTTAGAATATTATTGGTGGAAAAGAAAAAAAAAACAATGTAGTTACTTTCTTGTACTTATTAAATGAGAGTTGGTTTGATGCAGGTCAAGAACCAGTCGCATATATTGGTACTCGGAAGTGGAGCGCAGTGCGAAGCACGGAGTATGCTAAGATTTGGAACAGCTCTATTAGTGAAACAGTGAAGCGAGAACCCTACCTAGCATTCAGTATCCTGTTTATTTGCCTGAGGATATTCTTTTTCTTCTTCCCAAAGTTCTTTGCTCTCATCCAAGACTTCTGGACCGAATACTACGAGCAAAGCAACCTTGGAATCCTCGCCAAATTGACCCATGCTGTGGATGTGAGGAAGGTGTGGAGCAAGCTGAGGCTCATGGTTGGAGCTAAGAATGGTAGGATCTGGGCATCTCTAACTTCGGTGTCGCTTGGTGGGCAACCTTCTCCGCGAGTTGCTGTTGGACTGATGGGCTCGACCATCCAACAGCAACAAAACAAGAAAACGTTCTGATTCATTGAATTGCACTTGACGAAGTAGCTCCTGTAAGGCTGTAACTCACATGAGCATATTGAGGCAGATAAGGTCTCTAGCTCTCTGCTCAGGAACAAACATCCTGTTTGTAGCATGTAAATCTTAGGGATACCGTGGAGCCTTTGTAAATCATATTGTAACATTAGTCGTCAGTGCCCCCATCAGGCAGGCTGCCTTTGGCAATGAAAAAGCAGCATAAGTTTCTTCTTCACACCCCCCCACCCCACCCAGAATACATTGTCAAATGCGCAGTTTTATCATGTAATCTGCAATGGGTAATGGACATCCTTCAGTGATCAGTGTCATTTTCTGATGTCTTTGAATTTCAGTGTATAAGTCTCTCGTAGCTATGGTTTGCTTCACCCACTCGGTTACTCTGACCTTGTCACTCTTGATTAATGGATGTTAAAACTTGGAACAATGCAAATTCTCCAAGAATCTTCTTTACACGTGCTTCGACAATCATAGCCAGGATCTGCTCAGTGACAAAAAGATCCTCCATCTGCATCTCCAACTTTGTCTCCTTATTGACAAGCCTCCTCGTGGACGTCAACATTAGAGATGTACTGTACTTGAGGGCAAGCAGCAACTTGCATAGTTGCATGTAAAGATGAAAACGGAATGGAAATATCCCGAATCGAACCGCATCGTTTTCTATATTTAATCCGATCGAATCCGTATTTTCTTGTCCGACTTTACCGTTTTCGCTTTTGCTTTCGCATTTGAGATGTTTCGTATTTCAAATGTAAAAGTAGAAAACGGTTTACACATTTTTCGACCGTTTTCTACTTTTCTACTTTTAATTTGAAATATTCCGAATTCAAAATTCGGTTTAAACCGAATTTGGCCAAGTGCACAGGTCATACAACCCAATTACAGGCTGCTCACCACGCAGCTGCGTTCTTTCTACTTGTGGCTAGCTGCCCTCTCTTATAGACGGCGCCCAGCCTCATCTCTCTTATTATGTATTTGGTCGTGCACTTGTTTAATGATATGCACTAGAACTAGATCATGCACTTGTTAGTTGTGAACTTGTTATGTATTTGGTCGTGTACTTGTTTAATGCTATGCACTGTGGGTCGGTATTTCGTATTGAATTTTCGCATACCGACCGTGTTCGACATAATTCCGCTCGAATTGGTTCGTTTTCGAAATTCTAGATATTCCGTAAGTTCGTGTTCGTTTTCGTGTCCGGCTTGTCCGCTTTCGCTTTCGCTTTCGTATTTCAAATGTAAAAGTAGAAAACGGTTGAGGAGTTTTTCGACCGACTTCGACCGTTTTCATCCTTAGTTGCATGGCAAGATCATCAACCAACTCTCTGAAGATGTCACATCAGGAAACAAAGTCAGTGTCACAATCACAAGTTGCCTCTCGGAGTTGCTTGATAAGGGCAGGAGAAACAGCGGCTGATTAAGTGCAGAGAAGACCATCAAAATATTTCTTGTGCTGTCCCAGCAATGGTTCGGTAACAAAGAGCAATATGCGGTGAACTTTTGCTTAGGGAAATGCAGGGTAGAGCATGTCTACAAATGAAAACTCAAGATACAAGACTTTACTACCACTCTTAATTGTCACCACTTCAATAAACAAGTTACAAGAATTATGTTTCGCAAGCACACTGTACAACAAATAAAGCTGACAAATTATACAAGTCACTACCGACCTGTAGTGGTGCTTTCATGCTTGCTTGTTTTCTCACTCGGCACTCGCTTTCTCACTCGAGCCTGGTGCAGCCTCTCAGCTATAGCAGCTGTTCTTTGTCCGCCTCGCTACTACTAGTGCTATCTGGGGCCCCGTTGGAATTGTAGGACAGTTCAAAACCAATTCTAGGTGAGCTTTCAGATCCTACAGTTTGGTCCTCAGCAGCATCTGCCACAGAAGTACAAATTCTCAGCTCCAATCTGAGAACGCAGGGGCTGCAACATCTCTTCTCAGTTGTTCCTTCTGACACGGCGCTCAAATCTCCACTACCTTCCTCATCTGCCCAGAGATGAGCAGCTTCCTCAGAGACTTTGTGCAGCTTCTATGGAAGAGCTACCACCAACCCACCCCCCCCAGCACAAACTGGACTATCAGCTTCAACCGAATTGTTTATTTCTCACTCTCCTCGTGATGTTAAAGCAGCCAGGATAGCTCTTCAGTGGCGTAACTAACGGGCAAGCCAGCTCCTGACTGGCCATCTCTTAAATGGATAGCGAAAAATTGAACATATGAAATCCTTATATTTCTAGAAAAAAAAATATATTACTAGTATGCAGGAGAGGCAATCAGACAAACCTTGAACCCTATATGCGTCTCCTGTTAGGAGAGGCCCGACATCTAGACTGGCATATTGCGACCAATTACAAACCCACCAAAATACCTTATTCCACCATTCCTCGTACAAAATCCACATCACCTACCGCCGTTCCAAGTAGGTCTAAAATCATGGCCTTCGAGGCTTGGATATTGCAATCGACAAACCAGCAGAAATGCATTCGAGTGAGCAAGTGCCCATAATACCATATCATAACTTTCAATTGTTTAAACAATTGTCACGACAACTCCAGAGGAGATTTGGATCCTTGGGCCTCACAGGTCCCAACAGCGTTCCATAACCAGCCAAACTGAGCCATCACAAAGCATGGACTCATTCTCTTATACAGGAACTAACTTATCGCTGTTCTTAGAATTTCTACAGCAGAGACGCGAACAATATAGGCAGCTCCATTTCAGTTTCCTGCATTGAATTGTTCATCGGTTGAGCTCGCCTCCTTAGTAGCTTTGTCAACAATGACAAAATCAGCAGTGTCAGTGTTTTCCTGTAGCCATCAGAAAGGAAAAGGTCAGGGACAACTTTCCACTAAGAAACTGTGGTGCGGCTGCAGCAAATTAAACCATCATCAGTGCATATAAAGTTCTACGTAACTCTTGGTGCATGATTCTGCACACTCAGCGATCAGGGAAAAACAGAGTGAAACCTTTCCTTGTAAACTCCACCCACAAAACCAGCTACAGTATATCATCTTGGAAAAGGATGAAAAGACCTGAATTTTTCAAATAACATCTGATTTCTTTTATTGGTGTTTATATGAGTTTATCTCACAGAAGAAAAGAAGGCGGTCCTAGCATTGCAGATGTTCTAGATGCCAGGCCATGTTTGATCCCTTGCAATTCTTCATGCAACCATATAAATTATACAAATAATATAAACACAATGGTTCCCCTCTCATGTTACCAGGCACTATCCATATCTGCATTTAGGGAATGGATATCATTCTGAGTTTCAGAATTGTTGTCACGCTCAATTTTCAGGGAACTGGAGAAGTATTCGCCAGTTCAACAACCAGCTTCTGAAAGCTAACATAAAAAACAAGAGTGCATGTTCCTACTTATTTTCTAGTCATCCATGTAACTAGTACTAATTACGTACCACCTTGTCCTCCTTTGAGCCCCTGCTTTCATCATAGTTTTCAGAAGAACCATCCAGCTGGAAAAGAAAAATAACCAACTTATAAGGAAAAAATTTATGAAAAAGGGCAGTCAAGTCAACGAAAAGCACGAGCAAAAGTCACCTATCATACTACGTAGGCCAGACATTCTGCAAGCAGGTAAATTCAAGTATTTCACTATGGAGCTACTACTTACTTTCAAGTTCCCTAAGTTAGCTGATAGGACCTCATTTGTGTCCTCTCCATTTCCTTTGTTCGCATCATTTTCGGTGGCATCTTGAAGCTGAAATGAACAGATTTAAATATATTGTACAGTAAATTTATATGCAACAGAAATTACAAAATATAATGCAGAAAGGCAATTACCCCCAAATTCTTTAAGCTAAGTGACACATCTTCCTGCTGCTTCTTAAGGGTGGTCCTCAGCTCTTGGAAATCCTGGACGAGGCAATTTTTTCCAAAATAACTTAATCTAAAGATGAAAGTTACAAACTTTTTACAGGATGCAGAAGTTATGCTTACTGAACGAAGCTGCTCTATTTCGTTATTGAGTGCACCCTTGATGTCAGAGAGTTCCTGCAAGATAGATGAAGTGGTAAATAAAACTGCCATGCAACCTACAAGAAGTACGCTGGTAGCTTAAGATTAGCGTGGCTTTGATCAAGCCTCAAGGTACGCAACACTTTTAGTGTTACACTTTACAAACACTTAATGGAATCATCAAGTGCACACAGCATGCCTTTACAATCGTAAAAGATCCCAAGTAAAGTTTTCAGGAATTACTCAATAATTAAAAAAAAAGGCGTACCCAGTGCAGAGAGCTCCCGCTCTGTGCGGGGTCTAGGGAAGGATGTCAGTGGCAAGCCTTACCCTCGCCTGTGCAATGCGAGGAGACCGCGACTCGAACCCGAGACCTTCCAGTCACAGGCAGTAAGACTACCGCTTGCACTAGGCCCGCCCTTCAATTACTCAATAATTAGCAAAAGAAAATTTTACTCTAGAAAAATATATATTTATACAAACTAAACAAGAAGGTAAGATCTCACTATAATTGTTAAAAGACAACTAATAATATCTAAAAAGAAACTAAGAAAGTATAGATCAATATATCAAATGACGAACGTGAAGTACAAAGAAACTCACCACTTTGTATTTCGTCACTTGTGAGTCTAAATTACTCCTCCAACTCAGCAGATCCTGAAACATCAGAAAATGAGAAATAATATATCAACATTTCTGCTATGATAATTCCACAAAATTTGAATTAAAATATTGATACCAATGTGGAAAATATCTCAAGCATGCCACTGAAACTCATGAAGATTGAGATTGAACAAGTTATTCCCAAAACCACATGATTCGTACGGCAATAACAAAAACAACATTAAACAGAGCGGATCTAATAAGTTAGCCAAATTAGATCACACCTCCTTAAGCCCACGGAGTCTCCCTAGAAGCTCTGATTGCGATTCACTTAATTCCTGCTCAAAAGAAACAAAACAAGGGAGAAGTTAGTTTTATCACTCTAGAGATCTAAAGGTTACTTCCAAAAGAATTTGCTGCAAATAATAACATCAGAGCAGAGAACTATTCCAGACAAAAACAAAGATGATCAGATATAGTTCATAATTACTGCATAGACTAGCGATATTGTGATTGGGTAGGGAGTTAAAAAAGTTACTAAACACCTCTATTCAGAATGTTGGTACTATGCATCAGTTTCATCACACCAAGGACGGTACAGGATCATTGTGTCAAAATTGGTATGAATATTTGGGCAAGTGGCCTCAGTTAAAATAATGTGTTGGTTGTCTATTTCTGCTGAAATTCCATTGAGTAGGGTCTTTCAACTAGAATATGTTTATTTTTTTAGCTTATCTTTGAGCTTCTTGTTCTTGATCTGTAATTCTGTATCAGCTCAATAACTCTAAAAATTTGAATCAGTTCAATATAACTCTAAAACCATTGAGTCTGTTCAATCCCATAACCAAATTGGTGATCGTGCACGATGAGGAGGTTGGTTGTCTCAAAGGATCTGGGCTCTGAAGTGTTCCAATTTTTTCAGATTTTTCAGACAAGAGTACAAGACCACAGGCCATTGAATTTGTAAAAGGGCCTAACTGGTTCCGGAAAAGTGATGTTTTTTTCCTAGAAAAGAACAATAGGAATGCTGATGTGTGATCTTCATTAAGTTCCGGTACATTTAGTTGCCCACCTAGCGCACCAGTATGATACCAAATAACGGCCAGGTGGAACATAGCAACTTGGTCCCGCAAACCACGCACAGCATCATTTTCGCCCGTGGCAACCGAGCACACACGAGAAACAGTAAGGTAAAAAACTAGGAGGGGGAAGGAATGGTGGATACTCACCGAGATCTTTTCCTCCACGGGCAGCAGCTCTTCCTTCCTCTGCAAATCCAAACACACAAACCCAAGGCGAAGAGAAAACAGAAATCAGATTTAGCACAGCACGGCAGAGATCAGAGGAAAGGGGACGTGCGAGACGCTCACCGCCGAGGACGGGGAGGTCTCCGCCGGGGCCGCGGGCGTACCGACGGCCGCAGCGGGCGGCGGGGACGCCTCGGAGTCGGACATCTGGAGGGCGCCGACGGCGGCCGCAGGTAGGGTTAGGGTTTGGCTGCGTGGGTGAGGAGCGGCGTGGCGTTGAGATGGAGAGATGCGAAGGGGAGATTTGAAATTGAAATGGACGGGCACCGACCGAGTGAGGAGGCTACTAGAGACTAGAGAGGACGAGGACGGGGGAGCGGCTCCAGGAAACGGGACTGTTCGGGAGAACGGACAACGGATCCCTTGATCTGGGCCGTCCGAATCGTCACGACACAATCATTTCAGTTCCGCGTGGACCCTTGATAAAACTTTTCTGACTCCACCACAAAAATACTGTAGGAGTCGCGAAAAAAATACTGTAGTTCGTATTTTACTTTTCTAGAAAGAAAGAAGACCAAATGCGTTTTTCTACTCTAAATTTATTTATATTCATAACAACTAAAATAGTTTATATTTTGCTTACTCAGATCGAAAATGATCATCTAGGTTTTATCTTGAGTGAAGACTATTTAAATTTTATATAGTTTGCAACATAATTACTAGATTCGCCATAGACAATATATTCACATCATATAACTCTTTGAATTTGAGATAATATGTTTTTTGATACTGCTAGTCAAAGTACCCTACTTAAAAACGAGGAAGTATCATAATATATATACATTGATAGTAGCAAATAAATTGACCGGTTTGCCATTTAAGATATATAGCCGGCGTCTAGGCCTCTAGGGACACTCCTTCGTCTTTGACGAGGCTACCAGTCGTAAGATAGATCATCTTTCATTCACAGTTAAGTAGGTGCAAGAAAGAGATGGGACTCATCTTCATTCACAATTAAGTAGGCTTTAGGTTGCCTAGGTTTAATCTGAATAAATTTACGGACGAAATCATCACTAATGTTCGCCTGGGAGTTTGTTACTTGCGATGACTTTAATAATAACCATAATGAGGTCGCCATTACGGAGTCAATTTAATTAGCAAGAAGTCAATTTGTGGTTACTATCTGCAACGACAAAGATGGTCCTGATCACTTCCTGCAAGGATACTAACTCAAGGTTGTCAACCTCATTATTGGTGTCCGCAGAGAGGAATCAAACGTCTAACTTTGTGGATTAATGATTCTTAGGCGCTGAATATGTGACATGTGTAGTAACGGATGATTCAATTGTCGGTGTTCTTTTATCAATTCAAATGTTGTCGGGGACCAATACTAGGGTACCCGAAGAGGAGGGGCTAATGGTCATCAACATTAATTCATCCGAACAGTCAAGAGCGCGATTACGGCTCCAACCGCCCCAGGCTCACGGGCTCCGCCTTGACCGACCTCTGGGGAAGGACTCCGCCTCGTCCGACCCCGAGGCCACGGGCTCCGCCTCGCCCGACCCTTGGGTTTGCGCTCCGCCTCGCCCGACCCCGAGGCCGTGGGCTCCACCTCGTCCGACCCTTGGGTTTGCGCTCCACCTCGCCCGACCTCTGGGGGAGGGCCCCACCTCGCCCGGCCCCAAGGCCGCGGGCTCCGCCTCGCCCGACCCTTGGGTTTGCGCTCCGCCTCGTCCGGCCTCTGGAGAAGGGCTCCACCTCGCCCGGCCTCTGGGGGAGGGCTCCGCCTCGCTCGACCCAGAGGCCGCGGACTCCGTATCACCCGACGGAGACCCATGCCGCCGCCAACCACTCCAGGTCCAAGTGTATGGGCCTGGGTCAAAGCTCTGACACCAGGGAGGAGACCGGCACGCCCCGATGTAACCCGCAGCAACGACGGGCCATACCTGAGGATTCACATCAGGAAAAGCGTCGGGCGTACCGGTGTTATTCTACCTAACCCTCGTACGAACACTAAAAGGCGCGTCAGTTCACCACGACGTCCGCCAGGACGGAGTGGAGCGCCATGACCGGCAGACGACGCCTGCGCATGGCGACAGTGATGGACAGGGCCACGACGTGGAGCCGTCCCTATTGACATCTACAGGGTCGGTGAGACCCGCATGAAGGATAAGAAGGGTTTGGCGATCCTGAAGGCCTTCGGCTCTCTCTTGTTCTTCTCTTTCCCTCTGATGTAACCCGTGCTTTCCCTTAGCCTATAAAAGGGAAAGCAGGGCGCCCCACGAAGGGGATCAATCGATCGATTGAGGCCAGACCCGATCGAACCATCATGAACCAATCGAACCTCGAACCGACCAGAACACAACACAAATACACGGCTGAGCAGCAACCGAGCTCTTGGCACATGTTTACTCTTTCCACGAGAGACTTGGGACCTGTCCCTCTCTCGTCCGTTTTTAACTCCTACTACAAACTTTCAGTGCTCGTAACGCGAGCAGCAACGATGAGCTGGACGTAGGGACATTCTGTCTGAACCAGTATAAACCTCGTGTCCTTTAAGCACACCATCTGAGCCAGACGCGCAATACTAGAAATTTACTCATCGGTGGTTACTTGAAACACCGACAGTTGGCGCGCCAGGTAGTGGCCTTTTGTGCATCTCGACATCCACACCAGGCTTTCGATGGCTAGTCACAACATCAATCGTCACGATGGAGGGAGAGTTGGCATGGCCTCCCATCGCCGTCCAACCTTTCCACTTCACCGCCTCAACACGATCACCGAGGCGCTTGAGGAGCTGCAGTTGCACGCACCGGAGGCCCACGCTCCCGGGAGCGACTAGCTCCTCAACTTTGACTACGGAGGTTAGAGCGCTAGCTCGACGCCTTCCTAGGACCCTGACCGCCCCGGGAGGACCTGCGCCACCTCACCTTCTCGTTCGCCAACGTCATGGCGCCGCTTGCCGGAGGAGAGCCCCTCTCCCTAGAATACCTCATCCGGAGCGCCCCGATAGTGCTCCCGTTCGGTCTCCGCAACGCCGCAGAGGCCGTTGGCCACCTTGTGGCACAACGCACGCCTCCACCCCCGCGAACGATAAGTTTGTGGGGATGACCGAATATGTCGTAGAATCTTTCCATGACCTCCTCGCGAGAGAAACGGAGTCGCCCTCCACCTCTGACTCCAGCAGGGGGAGCCATCACCCATCTCGTGAATGTTTCATGGCAGGTACCCCCGAGGGACACGGTGAAAGCATCCATGAGGAAGAGGCTACCCCAACGAACGACCTCGATAACGAGGTCGGGAGGGATGCAGGGGCCCTACCACGCCTGTGGGTGGAGCAGCTGAAGGCCTGGCACCAAGAGCTCGAGGAAGCGTGACTCCAGCTCGAGCAAGAACGCATGAAGCTCGAGCGAGAGATCGAGCGCCATGGAGACGGTGGGCGCGCACGTGCCATGGCCCACGATGTGAACCGAAGGATCATCGAGGACGATGAAGCGCTTCCACACTTCGCCCGGGCAAGCCAGAACATCACTGCTGCTGTGGCCTTGCTCCGGGGGCTTCCGGGGCTCGCGATGCCCAAGGATCGTTGGGCCCATCGTGAGATTCGCACGCTACTCGAGCGTGCGGCAGCACAGCAGGCCGAGAGCTCACTGTCCCGACGAAGCGAGCTAGACGCCAGCCAGCGCAAGCCCTCAGAGCGACCCGACAAGGACGCATCAGTCCACCAGGCGCCGCAAGGCGGCAGGCCGTGCACCACGGTCCTAGTGCATGAGCGTCTCGACCGCCACCGTGACGCGCACGACACCCTCGACGCCCATAGATGTACCCACGGCGATGCGAGGTAGGGTGCTGACCGTGGCTACCACCCTTGTTATGGCGGACGCTACGACATCGGTGAGGACTGAAGCCTGAGCCCTGGCCTTCTAGGACCTCAGACCTTCGACCGGCACATCCTCAACACCGCCTTTCCACCACGGTACCGACCGCCGACCAACATCCCAAAGTACTCTGGGGAAATGAACCCTAGACTATGGCTCGAGGATTATCGGCTTGCTTGCCAAGCCGGTGGAGCAGATAATGATGATTTCATTATCCGCAACCTGCCATTGTTCCTAGCTGATTCGACGTGAACATGGTTGGAACACCTTCCGCCCAACAGAATCCAAAGTTGGGCATACCTGAAGGAGATCTTCGTGGCAAAATTCTAAGGCATGTACGCACGTCCTGGGAACCCCTAGGATCTCAAAAACTATCGATAGAGGTCCGGGGAAATCCTTTATGGGTACATCTAGCATTTCTTTCGGCAGTGCAACGAGCTGCCCAACGTCGCCGACTCCGACATCATTGGGGCCTTCCTGTCTAGGACCAGCTGTGAGTCCCTGGTTCACAAGCTAGGACATAAGGGCCCACGAACCACCAAGGAGCTCCTCAACATCGCCACCAGCCATGCCTCGGGCGATGAGGCGGTCAGAGTGATCTTTGACCGCCTCAAGGGCAAGGCGAAGCGGGATGAGGACGCCAGTGAAGGCGCCTCCAACCGTCCTAGTAATAGGAAGAACAAGTAGCGGCGTGAGGGCTCACTCGTGGCCGTCGCCGACCACAAGAAGGGTCGAAAACCCACCGAGGGTACCCCGAACCACTTCGAGAAGCTACTCGAAGGGCCATGCCCGAACCATGCCTTCCCGTCAAGCATCTCTACATGGACTGCGGCCTCATGAAGCGGTTCTTGTCCGGAGGCTCCAACAGCGGGAGCATAAGGGGGACCCCAAGCCGATCGCGGACGACGCCGAGGAGAAGGACGATGTCTTTTTGATGCTGGATGGCTGCCTCATGATCTTTGGAGGGTTGGTGGCCTATGACTCCAAGCACCGCTAGAAGCTTGCGCGTCGCAAGGTCTATACGGCTGAGCCAGCCGCGCCTACCTTCCTCTGATGGTCGGAGTCTTCCATAACCTTTGATCAGACCGACCACCCAGAATGTGTCCCACAACCGGGGAGATATCCGCTCGTGATTGACCAGATCATCGGCATGAAGCGGCTCACCAAGGTACTGATGGATGGAGGCAGCGGCCTCAACATCATATACGCCGAAACACTCGATGCCATGGGCATCGACCGATCGCGCATCTGACCGACTGGAGCACCTTTCCATGGCATTGTGCTTGGAAAGTAGGCCATGCCACTTGGGCAGATTAATCTGCCCATCAC